ATATACCTGCGGCTTTCTATAGAAAATGTGCGGCAACAGCGCACATTTTATTTTCATACAAAATATTAAACGAAATTTTCGCACGTAGACTTGCGCATTTACAAATGCGAAAACGTCTGCCATGTGTGAGAAAACGTCAAGAAAAAGGAGACAGTGGAAAATATAAGCGCCGAATTTAAAAAGAAATTTTTAAACGTTTCGCTGGCTTGCAACAGGGCGTATGCGCACTTGTTTTCTTCATTCCCTGCATGTGTGAAGACAGAATTTCCGTGCTCTCGAGATTTTTTAGCAGGCAACCCGCGTTTTCGATGGAAATCTTGCGATAAAATGCCAGCGAATTTCCCCTGTTCGCAATGAATACATTTGAATGGCCTTGTTCTTCCTGGCGCTGTTTCAGCTTTCTGCTGCTCATTTGCATGTGGCCTTGCACAAAATGTTTTTTGTCATTACCGGCGAAAGTCAGCTAAGCAGGGCACAAAGGGATGCCAAAGACAAAAGGGGGAGCTGCATCCGCATCCGCATCCGCCAGCATCCGCAAAAATGTCAACAAATTGAATGTAATTCCTTTTAATTTCGGAGCAGTCTTAAAGTCCTTGCAGGACTCTATCTCGCAACCATTTCGACCATCTTATCTCCGCCCCTTTCCCACTTTCCCCCCTTTGGCACGTGGCAAGCTGTCGCGAAGCAAATTGCCCGAATGAAGTTGCCTGCGAGTTGCATGCCGCGTGCCATGAAATTAAGTTGCAAGCTGCAGGATTTGCTTTCAAGTTTCGCAACATTTTCTGGGCCACGCTTTCCCGAAACCCTGCAAACCCTACTCCACACAGGACCCTTCTGCGGGGACACACGCTAAGGTCCTTGGCTCCGTTTTCGTGGATGCTAACACGCGTTTTTGTCGTTTCTCGTAGCTTCTTGGCTGCAGTCGGATAATGTCACGCTAATGCCACCAGCTTTGTCCTGCTTAATGTTGCGTCTAGTTATTGGATTTTTGGTATACGCTGGCAGGAGCCCACTTCTTGCTAGGTGCAACTCGAATCGGGGGCAGTGCGGAGTCGATGGAGCCCTGATCGATGTGGCGACGGAGTGCGGACAATGACCACTAAATTCAGTCGGAAACGCCACTTTAGCTTTGCATAGAAGTTTTAAAAAATAGTAGGTACAGCTTGGAGATTGATTCCAGTTTACCTTAACTTAAAAGAAATAAAAGCTCTTAAAAGTAGATATTTTAAATTCCTGCTTAATTCAAAGAAAATATAACCATTTAAAATTTCTGGCTACCGTACATATAATATTTTTATTAATACCTACACCCAAAAAAAAAATCGACTGAAATCGCCCTTGGTTTTAGAAAATCGCCTATGAATTTGCTTTACTGGCGATTTTGTCTAAATTAAAGACGTTTTTTCTAAAAATTAAACAAAAATAGACTGCAATTTAGAATTATTTTGCTAGAAAGTAAAAAATTATTTCTTAGAATTTAGAAATAAAGGTTTTCTAAAAAATAGAAATACGGTTTTTTTAAATATAGACAAATATTTTTTAAATAACAAAAAAAAATTCAAAAAAAACTCAAATTTAGAAAATACAAAAATCTATTTTCGGGCTTCGGAATTATACCCGGTGGTTTCTGTGACGCCACGGCCTTTGTGTTGTTTTTTTTTTCGTTCTTGTTTGTCACCTTATTTGAATTTACTTTAATTAACCACATGGGTGGTTTCAAATTGGAACTGTAATAATAACTGAAATAAGTGTACAAATTACAAATTGCAAATATAACGAGGACGGAAGCTAGCTTCGGCAAGCCGAAGTTTTAATACCCTTGCAGATTTTACAAATGAAAAGTTGACTAGAATAGCAACATGAATATATATACAACAAAATATTTTATAATTGAAAAAAATAAAATTTTAAAATTTTTCACCCTATTGCTTCTATAGGAGCTATAGGATATAGACGCCCTTTTACCCTAATCAAGGTACACTCAAAATAAATTTAACCCTAAATTTTAGAAAATCGCCATTAAAATTTCTTTTTTCTAAATACAAGAAAGTTATTTCTAAATCTAAGGAAATTTTTCTTAAGTCAAGAAAGTTTTCCTTAAATCCAGGAAGTATTTCTTAAATGTAGAAAATGGTTACCATGAACTAAAATCACCCTAAAATCTAGAAAAAATGCCCTTAAAATTAGAAATAATTTTCTGAAAAATAGAAAGGCAAACGAAACTAATAAAATATTTTGGCAACACTTTTTCTAAAAATGAGTGCCCTAACCCTAAAATTAAGCTAACCCTAAATAATAGAAACATTTTCTAAAAAGTAGAAAGTTTTTCTAAAAAATAGAAATAGTTGTTTTCACATGCTCTGGCACACCAAAATGTTCAATGCCAGAACTTGTCAGCTCCCGGGCGGCTGTACTCGTAGCGCAGACGGTTAAAGCGCTTGGTTAGAAATCGAATCGACCCTGGTTCGAGTCCCAGAGCAAACTATTTTTTACTTTTTTTTGTTTTTTTTTTATTTTTTTTTTAAGTTTTTTTTTTTAAATTTGTTTTTTGACTCTTTTTTTTATTCCTTTTTTTTTATTGATGGCAAGCGGTAAACCGAAATTAATTTGGTTTATATTTAGCTATTTACTATATACTACACAAAATATAAATTGCGATAGCATAAATATATACATAAGTATATATGTATGTAAATAAGTAAAACGCGAATGGTCAAAATTATGCAATTAGTTTTCAAATGTATTCTCCGCTTGACCCTTTACATACAATGCTCGGTTTGCCACAGCAAATTTAAGTGCTACAATGGCCCAGTATGTAGGCCGTTCGCTCTTCGCGCGGGAGATCCGGGTTCGATTCTCACCGACGGACAAGTAAAAATGTAAGTTTTTTTCATGAAGATAAAATATGAACTAATCATAATTTCTACATTCCCAATCTTCCGCAGTCCCGTAGTCCACATTTACAGCAACATTTGGCTTTGGTTAGATAAGAAATCCAAGCGCAAATCATAATAATAAATACATAACATTTAACATTCACAATATACAAGACACACAACGCCTGCATATGTATATAGGGAGGAGTACATAATATAAACGTATATACAAAAAAAAATCATGATTGAACATGTTATTTTTTTTTGTTTTTAATTTCAATTTTTTAGGAAAATTTCCTACTTTTTAGAAATTTTTGCCCTTAAATTTAGTAAAATTACCCTAAAATTTAGAAATATGACGCCAAAAAAAATCAAAAATATAGAAAAATGTGACCCTAAAATTTAGGGCGAGCTTGTCTTGAAGACAAAAGTAGGGCGATTTCCTTGACTTTAGGGTTAATTTTATTTTGAGTGTATGCATAAAATAATAAGATTTGGAAAGTTTCATGGCAATAGCTTATACTCTGCGCGAAATATCCTGAAAAACGTTAAATTTGTACCGATTTCACCCTATTGTTCCTATGGGAGCTATAAGATATAGACGTCCGATCGGCACGCGCTTTTACCCTGATCAAGGTATGCGTAATATAATAAGATTTAGAAAGATTCTTGTCAATAGCTCGTACACTGAGCGAAATATCTTCATTTTGTAAAAGCTATATCCGGTTGTTCCTATGGGAGCTATAGGATATAGACGTCCGATCGGGTCGGCTTTCAAACTTGATCTGCGTACACATGTTTTAGGACGACTGTGAAAGTTTTAAGGCGCTAGCTTCTAAACTGAGCTCGCAAACGGTATTGAAACAGACATACAGACGGACAGACGGACGGGAATCGAACCGCTAACCCCGCTCGCCTCACAGTTTGCAGTCAAGCACTCTACTAGCTGCGCCACGGAAGCATCACGTGAGGCGCTGTACAAAGTCTATTCACATTTTGTTCTCCTATTTTTACTCTCTTCTGGTTATTCCTTTTAGTTGTTCATTTAATTTTGCTTTTAAATATTTATTGATTAATATTAATATTTATATATTTATTATGGTTCAATAGTAACAGTAAGTGAATGTTTCAAATTTGAAAAACTTAAACATCATTTTTATCAAAATATAATTATTCATGAGCTAAAAAAATGCGATACATTTTTTTTTATTAATATGTAAATATTAGTGTTAAAAAAAAACAAAAAAAAACCATGAGTTTTTCGTCTCGACGTGGGATTGAACTCACACTTGCAGCCGCAAGCTTGAATAACATATGCATGCACGCACGTATTAGACCCCTAGGCTACCAATCCCGGAAATTTTCTTCGATTAATAGCGATTTTTTCTTGGGCTAAAAAAAAAATTTCTAAAAAGTGTATAAGAAGGAAAATTGATCAAATACGGTTAAATTTTTTATTTTCTAGAAAAATGTTTCTTAAAATCACACATTTTTTTCTAAATGTTAGAAAAATCTTCAAACATTTGTTCTGTTTTTTAGAAAAACAATATTTCTATTATGTAGAAATATTTATAATTTTAATGGCAATTTTTTTTTATTTTTAGAAAAGTCTTTTTTTTTATGTCATATCAATGGCGATTTTAAAAAAAATTGATTTTTCTGTATTTGAGAAAAAATTTCTAAAAAAACTCGTTCAATAGAGAATTTTTTTGAAGATTAGAAAATTTTTCTGAAGATTAGAAAATTTTTCCTCTTTATAGAATATTTTTTTAGAGCACAGAAAAAATTTGTTTTTCTATATTTAAGAAAAAATAATTTTTTGAGTGTAGAAACCACTAAAAACTTCAGCCTTCTTGGAAAATTGTTTAATTACTTTTAATTATTTCGTGCCGTACTCGCACAATACTCGCATTCCTTTCAAAGTAATCACAGTATTATGCATCCTCAGAATAATTTTCTTGTCAACCGCACAATTTGCATGAGTCCAGAACACACCGATATGATTAATGTGAATAAATTATGCACATGCAGGGGAAAATGAAATCCTATAAAAACGCCAGGGGCCCCGCACAAAGCAAACACAAGTTGCCGGGAAGGAAGTCGGTGCTAAAGTGGCCATATAAAATGATTAAGTTGCAAGTGAAAGTTATTTCTTGGCCTTTTATAATTTTAACAGCATTTTTACGCGTGCTGCAAATTGAAAGCATAAATACCAATTTCCTTGAGCTGGCAGCCTTCGAGGACTTTTTGCGTTCGGAGCACTTGACCCAGGTCCTGGTGGTTCGCGGCGCTGATGCTGATGGCGACTGGCAAATTGAATGCCACCAGAAATTGTTGGCCAACTATCGTGTGCAATTTTACCGGCCAGGAATGTCGGCGAATTTCGAGGATCTCATGTTCTACGGGTCTCCGCGCACGGCGGTCCTGGTGCTGAATTTCGAGCATGTCCTCGTGAGGCGCCGGGTGCTCGGGGTGGCCTCCGAGGCCGGATACTTTAACAACTCGCTGGCGTGGTTCATTCTCGGCTCTGGCCGGGAATCTCTGCCAGATGAGCAGCTGATTGAGCAGCACTTGAGTGGCTACAGCATGGGCATTGATGCGGATATCACGGTGGCCTTGAGGGCTCAAGATAAGTGAGACAGAGCATTATTATTCTTAAAGCAACGAATATACGCAGCACAACACGTTATAAAATTTAAAATTCTTTGTACAGCAAATCTTGGCCTCTCTATGATGTATACAGAATCAGCCAGCGAGTTCCTAAGTCTCTGATAGTTAAAAGGAAGGGAATATGGACCTTTTCTGGTGGTTATCAGCTCTTGGAAAACTTTCAGAACACCTGGATAATTCAACGGCGCAACTTCCTCAATGTCACTCTGGTGGGCAGTACTGTGGTGCGTGTGAACACGGCCTTGTCCGAAACACCTCTCGACTTTCACCCACCACCCATTTCCCACAGTTGACAGAGAAGCCACCTGGATTCGATGACATGGAATACCTGGCGGACGATAAGCAGCTCCAACAATTCGATCCCATGCAGCGGAAGACCTATCAGCTGTTTCAACTAGTCGAGAGCATGTTCAATCTCAGGTGGGTGCGTGGAACTAGCATCGAAGAAGGCCCTAATTAACCAGTTTTTACACTCGGAAAATGCGATTCGAAGTCTTTTTCTAATCGAGGGGTAAATATAAGTATACCCTATACAAAAATCGGAACATAATATCTAAACATATTAAAAAATACATATATTATTAGAGTTCTGGTTGGTTCAGGAATTAATCCTGTTAGATTATTAAGACAGTCCTTAGATACTCACAATTCCTTTCTCTGTGCAGCTTGGCCATGAGGTTCACGGATAAGTGGGGTGATTTGCTGGAGAATGGCAGTTGGTCCGGAGTGATGGGTCAGGTGACGAGTCGCGCGGCGGACTTTGCCGTGTGTCCCGTTCGCCTTCTGCCGGACAGACAGCCCTACGTGCAGTACTCGGCGGTCCTGCACATCCAGGAGTGAGTTAATCACAGCGAACTCGACTTGGATCGAATCTCAGAACGCTTTCTCCCCCGCAGCATCCACTTTCTCTTCCGCCATCCCCGCCGCAGTCACATCAGGAACATATTCTTCGAGCCGCTTAGCACCCAGGTGTGGTGGTGTGTCCTGGTTTTGGTCTCTGCCAGCACTCTACTTCTGCTGATTCATGTGCGGCAAGAAAGGAGGCTGTCGCACTTGGATAATCGGCTGTCATTCGTTTGGTTCACCATGCTGGAGACCTATTTGCAACAGGGTCCTGCCACAGAGATCTTTCGCTTATTTTCCACTCGACTGCTGATCAGCTTTAGTTGTGCCTTCAGTTTTGTGCTGATGCAGTTCTACGGCGCCTTCATAGTGGGTTCCCTGCTCTCCGAAAGTTCGAGAAGTATTGTTAGCCTAAAGGCGCTATATGACAGCAATATGGCCCTTGGCATGGAAAACATATCCTACAACTTTCCGATATTTACCGACACCAGAAATCAGCTGGTAAGGGATGTGTATGAAAAGAAAATCTGCAAATCAGGAGAGCACAACGTCCTGACCTTGCAGCAGGGAGCCGAAAGGATCATCCAAGGACGCTTTGCCTTCCACTCGGCCATAGATCGCATGTACCGGCAGCTCTTGGACCTTAAGATGGATGAGGGAGAGTTCTGCGACCTGCAGAAGATCATCTTTAACCCGCCGTACGACGCGGCATCCGTAATGCCCAAGGGCTCGCCGTGGAGGGAGCACCTGGCCCATGCCTTGCTCGTCCTTCGGACCAGTGGCCTAATGCAGTACAACGAGAAGAAGTGGATGGTCCCTCGGCCAGATTGCAGCCTATTTAGGGCCCAGGCAGCCGAGGTGGACCTGGAGCACTTCGCCCCGGCACTTCTTGCCCTGGCACTCGCCATGATGGCCAGTGCTCTGGTCTTTCTACTGGAACTCTTTCTGCACTGGCTGCCGGACTTTCGCAGGAGGTTGGGGGTCGTGTCCATGTCCACTTAAGTAATCATCTTGCCCCCTTTTTTAGCTTGGAGCTGGAGCTGCCCTGGCACGACTTTCGGCTACAAATTTGTGTCGCTTTTAATGTTTTCTGCATTTTTAAAAATAGTAAAAAATTTGTAATAATGTCAGCTATTCCCTGCGCAGAAGCTCCGGCGCGGGGCAGAAATTAAAAATTCCATTAAACTGCAAACACTTGCATGTACTCAACTGGACTCCGCCCTTCCACCAGTTCACCAGGCCACCACTCCACGATTCCGCTCGTTTTGGCCAGTTTCTTGGTCGGGGTCGTAGTGGGCTCCCTGCATCGGGCGCCCTGTTCATTTAGACTTAATTATGAAGCTGGCTGGAGGCGGTGTCACTTGTTTTCTATTAACTGACAAGCTTTTAAGGGGCGGCATACTGTTAGTTCCGCCAAGCAGAATTCATTTAGCGAACGAGAAGTAACGCTTCCCCGGGGCGCACTACATTTCCCATGGCAAATCATAAGGTCTGAAGGGTTATCAATTTATTTAATTTAAGTCAGCAGAATTTTCTTTTACTTCATTTTCCAAGTCATAACTTCTTATAAAATGGCTAGCAAATTGTTACTGTAAACCGCCATCTAATTGTGTAATCGCATTTGATGCAATTGGATGCGTGATCAGTGTCCTGCATTAAGCTCTGTGTTGGTAACCACGCATGTCCTTCCATCGCACTGTGGTCACGCATAACCTTCAATTAAGTTGTCATAATGTCTGACAGACACGATTGCGGAAAAAGGGCAGGAACTCGGGTGGAACTCGGTGGGTCGATATAATCACATTTATATGACAGTTCAGAATGAATTTGTGCAATGGGACGGCCCTACTGCAAATCCGAACGAGTGCGAAAAAAGTTGATAGTCTAACTTGCCTTAATCTGTTATTTATAAGAAGTGTCAACTGGGAGAAGGCAAAACTAATTCAACTTAGCTAATTACCACACTTAAATTCTAATTTAAACATTTGCAAGTGATATCTCGGGTTGTTTTTTGTTTATAAAATTTTTTTATTTATTTAAGTTTTTATGAAAGTACCTTTTAGAAGCAAAGGAATCACATTTTGAAAATAAACCCCATCATTTTTATAAAGAGTGCAAAATATCAGCCACTATATCTGTCAGAAGTCGATAAAGTATTATCCTATTTAAGTAGCCAAAATTAACATTTATTCAAATGACCTTTTTTTATGTCGTCACGAGCATCAAAATGTCTTATCATTTCCAAATATTGTTGCTCATCTATTAATGTTAGTCAAAAAATATTTCGACGGTACCCAAATAAAATTCAAATTTTCGGGCGAAGGACTTAAGTTCCCAGTCCCATTTTTTCCATTAAATTTAGTATTGTATACTAGTTTTAATTTGACAAAATAAAAATAAAAAAAATTCAAATTTTGGTGTAGACAGTGGAATAATTTTCTAAGCTATTTTTTATTTACGAAAATAGTATTTTAATGTTGTTGGGGATCTAGTAACATAAGTAACATAGTGAAAGGTGCATAATATATTTAGCCGTCTTCCCTGGGAGGCTCCTTACGATTCGCACACACGCACACATTGACGTCAAATTATGCAAATTTACAACATGATTAAGCTCGTTTAGCCGGACTCCCGTCCAACAGCTAAATATATATATATAGTAGTATACCCCAATGTCGTCAACGCTCTCGTGTTTGTTTTGCAATTCAAATGAATCTGCTGAGGTTGGGTTTGAAGCTGGGCCTAAACTGGAGATATAATTGCGAGTGATGCCGGTCTCAAAATTAAAATTTTCAGAAACAACTTAACTTTTAAAAAATAAAATTTTTTAAATATTTTACAGTACTTGAACTTAAATAGTTAAATCTAATTTTCCCTTGAAATATAGAACATTATAGACACTATTTAAACAATAAATTATATTTAAAGCTATTTAGAGAATGTAGATAATAGACACAGATTTTTGATTTAAAATATTATTTTTTAGAGGTTAGGCGATTTGGGTTGCTAATGCTATAGGCTGTCGGCAGCACTGTGGCTGGGGATAAAATCTCTATCTCCCCGGATATTTCGGCATGTTTGTTTCAATGTTTAGCTGTGCGTTGTCTGGGCAACCTCCTCCTCCGCCCTGGTCCACATATATAAATTCGTACAAATTGTTCAATGGCCGTTCGCTCGGTTCCTTCGGCCAAAGTATCAATTGTTTGGCATTGGTCTTTATTTATGCATTGTTGGTGGCATTGTTGTCGGCATTGTTGGTCTGGCCTATCCGATGTCTGCGTGGTGGTCTGTGTGTTTTATTGCTTATGGTTATAGTGGGGATATGGCCGACCGTGCTCTGAATGAATTTATATTGTTTTTGAAGTGTTTAAATGTTTGTCCGTGTTTGCCACAGGGCGCTGGCACACTGGTCGTATGCGTAATGCGAATTTATGCAGGCTTAATGTTATGGCAAGTGCCCTAGAATGGAAATTTCGTCGCCTCAGCGACGGGAGATTGAAGTTTATGCAAATAGGGCTTCAATCGAGATCTGGCTCAAGTGCTAATTAAATAAGACAAAGCCAACTTTAATTTGCAGCTAATAGACTGGAGCAGAGTATTTAAATGTGAGTTTCCTTGGCAAAGCCCTGTATCCTTTGGAGTTTCCGTTGTTTGGCTGTTTACCCAAGAGCCCTTTCAGGACCTCTTTGCGTTTTTCCATTTACGCTGGCTTGGCTCAATCTTGGCCCTGGCCAAAACCCGTGACCAAAAGCTGAATAAAGCGCCGCAACAACTTTGCAAATCAATATTAATTGCTCGGATTCACTCAGCCATAAACTCATTTAAAAAAGCAAAGCTGCCGAGTTGCTCGAAAAGCGTGCAGAAAGAAAACAACAATCTGTTATATTTTCACTATTTATGCTAGGGGTTTCCACCGCCCCTCTGGCGATTTACCTCTTTCCACTCCTTTGACCGATTGTCGAGTGGAGAAAACTTTTGCAACTTTTGCGCTGCATTTCTGAGGCATCCTTTCGTCCTTTCCGTCGTCCTGCAGTCCTGGGCTAATACCTCAGCGCCCCCGCTCCTTCCTGGCGTCATGTGCTTATTATAAAATAATTAAGTCCTTTAGGAAATTATAGTTCTTGTTGCCGTTGCCTCACTCTCTGTTGTCGTATTTCCCCAACTCATGCAATCTGTGCCCGTTTTTATTTCGTCCTCCGCTTCTTACTTTGCACTGCGATTTCTGAGCTGTTGCCTCGCTATTTTCCTTACTTGTGTGTCTTTTTGCTACACGCAGAAAACAACGTATTAAATTTCAGGTTAAATTTGTTAAAAATAATGTTACTATACTAATGAAGTGGAACTATAATGTACTTATTTTTGCGCTAAGCGCGAAATATTAATAAGCGCGAAATATTAATATAATATTACTAGTTATTAAAAGAAGTACCTCTTAATTATACGAAGATCAAAGATAAGAAACATGCTTAAATAGTTATAGTTCTTAGTTTATAACAACAAAGTTCACTCATCTCATAGTTTAAAGACATGTTACACATTTGAAGATATTTTTCCTGTCTGGTAAGATGAAGAGGAGCATCGCACCCCTGCCGTTGCTTGGTTACTCCTGTGAGTGTCTGCAATGAATAACCTGGGATGGATACCCAGAGGTTGAAAATTCTACATAAATTGTTTCCAAGTCCTGCGGCTCTCACGCGTTCCATCATTTCCAGCCTTTGGGAAAAAATTGACTCGTTTTGTCTCTTTTCTCTTGTGGGCTGCCACTGGCATATGAGTAATTTATTGTGTATCTAATTAATTATTGCTGCCAACGTATTTTTCCACACCAAAACGAATGTGGCTTGTGCGACTGTTTGTATCTGTATCTGAATCTGGCCAGTTGTCTGTGTGGGCGTCTGGGTCGGCATCGTTAACATTGACTTAATTGCCAAACCACAGAATGACTCTTTTAGGAGCTGGAAAGGAGAGCCTAGAAAAGCCAGCCAGTGGTATCTTGGACCCACATGCAGGTCGGACATCATGATCTATGTGTGGGACATGACACTTTGCATTGGAATTTATGTATCGTCTGGCCCTCCCTCTCGCTCTTTAAAAATGCAATGCCCCGCCCGTCCGAAGTGGAGCCATCCATTTTAACATGCCACGGAGTATGACAAGTGTCGGTCAACTATAAACAGGAAGGAGAGTCGCACCACTAGGACCCTCGACGAACACATGGACAGCGATGCCAGGACACTGGCAGGACTTCAATGGCCCTTTGGGCCCGGCATGAAAGCCGCTTGAGTGCGATGTTCTCGCGGAGCCTGTCGATGGTTCCGTGGTCCTGTGACTGTACACATAAAGTGGGGGCAGCCTCTGGATAAACCTGGTCCCCACTGAAAAGCATGCTATTCCAACACTTCAGAAAGTCAGGAAAGTTTAAAGCAGGAAATAATTAATTCAAATCGATTAAGGACGTTAAAGTCAAGTGTCTCGGTTTTTGTGTACTGCTTTCTTTTCAGCATTGCATTAAATCCCAGTTCGTATTTAAATAGTAAAACGAAAACCGAGCTTAATGACAAGGAAAATGATTACCAAAAACTGCAAAGTCGCCATTAACATCGTGGCCAAGTTAACGACTGGTCACCCAACTGCAGTATTGACCGGCTAAACAGTATGGAAATTAATTACCGCATAAGTTGGCAGAACTTTAGCCCCAAAAAGTTTCGGGAATATCAAGCCAACCAATCAATTTTCGTCTGTGCGACAAATGCGCAGCCAAAAGTTGCCCAGCAAATCGTTTATCAAATTTAAATTTATTTCCAATCTGGCTAAAATGCAGTGCGGAAAATTCATCATGGACGCCAGTGTAAAAGCCCGCAGATGTGTCAATGTATCTGCACTAAATGTGTCCGTATGTGCGTATCTGCATAATTTTGATGGTTCGTTTTTCGGGGGTTCGAAGAGGTTTGAGTTTTCTGGTCATTTTTGGTCTGTTTTTTGACCAGGCGGCGCATAAATTT